AGGTGATAGGGAACCCAAGGTTGAGAAGCGACAGTGTTGACATGTTGTGGGTTTGTTAACCATTATTATAGGGCAATGTGTGTACTAACTATTTAATGAGAAACGATTTATTCTGCAAACCTTCATCTAAGGTACAAACAAAGAAAAAGAATTATCTATGTGAGATCAAATTGACAACAGCAGCTCAAAAGGGTTTGATGGGAAACCTAGGGGGCAGTGAGTTGAAGATAATGGTGATGGAATAATTTGGAAAAGGATAGTGAGAATAGCAGCACCACTGGAAGAATGTAATTGATGTCACTGAATTGTACATGTAGAAATTTCTGAAATGGTATTATCTTTGGCTATGTATATTTTTACCAAAATAGAAGTCCTCCAAGGTCAAGAAGGGAGAGTGTTGACATGTCATGGGGTGGTTAACCAATGTCATAAAACAATATGTGTACTGTTTCATGAGAAAATATTTGTTCTGTAAACTTTTATTTAAAGTACAAAAAAATTTAAAAAAAATTTGTGCAGAATAATAAAAAAAAATAAAATTGGTGAATTGTATTTTATGACTTATTCCTCAATGAAGATTTTTTTTAAAAAAAGGTTTATCCCATCTTATAAATAAGCTGATATTTAAGTTTCATTCCGTCAATTTTGGCCTATTATTTCAACATCATTAGACATTTATTTCTTAACCAGTATCATCACTGGGTACTCAATCCTCATTCAAATGCTCTCAACCTAAGTTTATAAACTGAGATAGGATCTATTTCCAACTTCAGAGGAGATTTCTTGGGCGGAGTTATAAATCTTTGAAAAATGAGCTTTTTAATGAAAGCAGGGCTAACACATCTTTAACTGTGGAGAGAGAATGGTATGCCTATAATCCCTTTTTTTTTTTTTGATCCTCGTGGAAAAATACAGAACATTGAAAATATTTTTTTATTATTACTTCATTTGTCAAAACCCCATCACTTATGCCACATTTCAAATGAGGTGTAATAGGTTTTAAAGATGCTACAGAGATCATTACAAAAGCTGTGGGATGCCAAATATAGTGGGGAATGCGGGATGGAAAAACAATTACTAAGCTCGACGTGAAATCCAGGCGACGGCAGCGCACATCAGCTTAGTTCATTGCCAAGAGTCCGTAAGAAGACAAATATGAAAGTTAAAATGGGAACGAGATAGGTGTGTTGACAGCTCTGCCTCCCATAATACACATCCATCCCAAGGCACCATTTGTTAAATCTTCAGTCTTTTTGTGAGGATCATCAATAGAGGTAATTAAGCAAAAGAGCAGCAAAAATTGAAGTTCCCAGAAAGGAGAAAAAGTTAGTAAAGCCATGACAATGAGGTGTCATTGCAGGAGCAAAGGCTGAACACCTGGAGCCGCCTATAGGGGTGAGGCAGAGTGAATGGGATGGGATGCCGGTCAGGACATGTAGAGCTCACCACTTCATGATGTTTCATAGTTTCAGGAGGTCCTGAAGGCAAAGGGAAAATGCCTCTGACTTCCTCATTAAGGGGAAAGAAGGATCCACAGAAAAGCTGGGACACATTATGAAAGGTTGTTGTTGTTAGCTGCAGTCAAGTCTTTCCCAACTCATGGCAACTCCATGTATACAGACTAGAACTGCTCCATAGGGTTTTTAAGGCCGTGACCTTTTGGAAGCAGATCACCTGGCATGTCTTCCAGGGCTCCTCTGCGTGGGTCTGAACCTCCAACCTTTTGGCTAGTAGGCAAACACTTAACTATTGGCACCACCCAGGGACTCCACATCGGTGTACAGACAGAAAGTATGTAAAGCTATGAAGAGACTGAATGAGATCACCTGGAGAGTAAGTGTAGCTAAGAAGGAAAAAAAAAAAAGCAATCAACGTAATTCATCACATGTATCAGTTTCCTATTGCTATGACAAATTACCACAAACTTAGTGGCTTAAAACAGCACAAACTATCATACAGTTCTACAGGTTAGAAATCCTAAAATCAAGGTGCTGGCAGGGCTATGTTCTTTTATGAGGCTCTAGAAAACAATCTGTTTCCTTGCCTCTTCCAGCTTCTAAAGGCTGCTTGCATTCCTTGGCTCATGGCCCCTACCTTCCATCACTATAACTACTTGCTCTTATCATCACATCTCTCTGACTCTCCTGTCTCCCTCTTATAAAGACCCTTGTGATTATATTGGGCCCATATGGATAATCGAGGCTAATCTCCCTATTTTAAGATCTTTAACTTAATCACATCTGAAAATCCCTTTTGCCATGTGAGGTAACCGGTGAATACAGATTCCAGAGATTAGGATGTGGGCATCTTTGGGGCGGGGGGCGGGGGCGATCATTATTCATCCTACCACACCACAGTAACACTGAAAAAGAAAAGCCATATATGATCACCTCAATAGATTAGGGAAAAGTATATGACTTAAATTTAACACTCATTCATGATAAAAACTCTCAGAGAACGCGGAATAGAAGGGAACTTCCTCAACCCGATAAAGGAAATCTACGATTATAGCTAACATCATACTTAATTCTGAAGGACTGAATGCTCTCCCCCTATGATCAGAAACATGACAAGGATGCCCATTCTCACCACTTTTATTCAACACTGTACTGGAGATTCCAAACCAGAATAATAAGGCAAGCATAAAGAATAATAAAAGGTATAGAGATTGAAAACGGAGAAGTAAAATTCTTTTATTTGCAAATGACATGATCATGTAGAAAATCCTAACAGATGCTTAAAAAAGCCACCAGAATAACTAAATTTAGTAAGGTGTGAGGATATAAGGTCAATTATATACAAAGCAACTGTATTTCTATATATTAGCAACAAACAAATGGAAATTAAGTTTTTAAAAATCTTTTACAATAGCATCGAAAAGACCCGATATGCTTAGGGATAAATTTAACAAAAAATGTGCAAGCCCTATACTCTGAAAACTCAAAACTTTGCTGAGAAAAATTAAAGAAAACCTAAATAAACAAATTGACCTTGTTGATGGTTCAGAAGACTTGACGTTGTTAAATCGGTACTCCCCAAATAGATCTATAGAAAAATCCCTACCAAATGGACTATAGTCCTGAATGTGAAATGCAAAATAATAAAGCTTCTACATAATAACATAGGAGAACATTTTTATGACCTCAGTGTAGAAAAAGATCTCAAACAAGACACAAAAAAAGCATTAACCATAAAAGAAGATTCATAAACTAAGCGACATTAACATTAACCTCTGTTCATTCTTAGGCCACCATTAACAGAGTAAAAGGCAAGCCAGCGTTGAAGACACACTTAAACACAAATAACTGACAAAGGACTCCTATCTAAAAGATAGGAAGAACTCTTACAAGTCTATAAGACAAAGACCCATCACCTTGTGGTGATGGACCGAAATTGGAAAAATTTGCAAAAGATTTGAACATTTCTCATAAAAATGGATATTCAAATAGCCAATAATCATATGAAAAGATGCTCAACATCATCATCAGGAAATGGCAAATTGCAGCCTAACAAGATAACACTATACACGTATCAGAATGACTAAATTTTTCTTTTAACAATATCAAGTCAACAAAGATGCGGAACTGGAACTCTCGCACATTGATGGTGCAAGTATAAATTAGTACAGTCACCTTGGAAAACATTTTGGCATTATGTAATAAAGCTGAATAAAGGCATGCTATGACCCAGCAATCTGAGTGAAAGAGTAACATGGTAACATAAAAGAGTAATATGTACACCAAAAAGCATGTACAAAATATTCATAGAAACAAATTTTCATAGTAGTCAAAAACTACAAACAATCCAAATGTCCATCACTTGAGTGGATTTAAAAAGTAGTAATATACTTATGCAGTGGGATACAGCAGAGAAATGCAAATAAAAGAATGAGAGCTACATGAAACAACATGGATGAACCTCACAAACTTAAACATTTACAAGAGGAGCCATACAAGAAACATGCACACTGATTCCATTTATATTAAAAATGAAAAAGTAGGCAAACAAAACTAAAGATTTATTTAGGGATGTGTCATTATACGGTAAAACTGTAAAGAAAACAAGAAAGCATTACCATAAAACTGAGGATAGTGATGACCTCTGATGGGAAGGACAAGGGTTGTGATTAGAGGGGGCACAAAGGGGCTCTAGGGCGCTGATAATGCTCAGTTTCTTTACTTGCATGGTGAATTGCCTGGCTATTCACCTGGTAATAAATGAATGAGACGTACTCTATTATTTTGTGTACTTTTCTGTCACCTTTTACAATAATGTGGTTGAAAGAAAACGAGTTGTGCTGGAAAAAAATAAAAGCTTATTATGTCAAAAGTTCATGCTTAAATAAGTAAAAGCTTATTATGTCAAAAGTTCATGCTTAAATAAGTGGAAAACAAGCAAAGTGCAAAAGTGCATTATATAATATGCTGCCTTTTGGATAAGAAAGAAGGGGAAACAAGAAAGTACTCATTTGTTCAAAAAGAAATATAGTAAGTAAAAACTAGAGACTAATTAGATTGGCTACCCTCAGTGGTGGGTGGGAACGGGGTAGAAAGGATTGAAGAAACGGACAGGACCAAATGGAAGGGGTATGACACTCCTCTGAATCCTTTTTGCACAGTTCTGAAATTTAGAACCATTTTGCACACTCAAAAACAAAACAGATGTGAGATTGTTAACCATTGTCATAGGGCAACATTTGTAGTAACTGTTAAATGAGAAACTATTTTGTTCTGTAAGCCTTCATCTTAAGTGAGAATAACAGCACAATTGGAAGAGCGTAGTCAATGTCACTGAACTGTGTATGCAGAAATTTTTTAAACGGTGTATCTTTGGCTATGTGTATTTTCACCAAAAAAAAAAAAAAAAAAAAAAGGTTGAGAATTTAGAGGGTTTATATGTTGTGGGGTTGTTAACCAATGTCATAAAACAACATGTGTACTCCTGTTTCATGAGAAACTATTTGTTCTGTAAGCCTTCACCTGAAGTACAATAAAATATTAAAAAAAAAACAGAAAGAAACCAACAAAAATGAGAGAAAATTACCTGAAATGGAATTCAAAACAGAAACAAACGAACTGAACCAGTTCATGAGTAACATAACCAAGACCAAAATTAACTCAAGTAATTTTTTAACATAGTATTTGAGTAATATGTCCTCAGGCTAAAGACAAAAAGAACTTGAAGCAAACACTGAACTCTAGTTAGAGGATTCCTTTAAGCAGAGGTGTAAGCTAGCAATTCTAAAGCTACTTTCTATGTATTCTAGTATTAAGCAAATTAGTGTTATTTATAATAGGAATTCTCATCAATGGAGAAGGGAGTTACAAATATGGAAGAGGGAAGACCAGAGTGAATATTGTGGTGATAGACTGGAAATGGCGGTATCGGTGTGAATTAATGGCTTTTAGTATATATAGACAAATATAGAAATAGATACAGACATGTGGATGTATGTGTATTCACACATACACACGTCTGTATCTATTTCCCACTTCTGTCAGCTGGGAGGGTCTAGAAGCAAAGGCACTCGAGCAGCAATGAGCACACCTAGCTCCCAGATCTTGATTTCTAAATGCCATTCTCTATTAAAAGGAACTAGGGATACTTAGAGCAATGGCTGATTCCAGGGTTGGAATGAGCCTCACTATCTTACTATGCCAAAAAGTGAAGAAAATGCTCAGTGAATGATGGGGTCATGTCAAAAGGACACAGGAATCAGCTTGAGATGTCTCCCACTGGCCAAACCTGGCACAATTTGAGTATCAATATAAACAATATTAAGTAAATATAACCTATTGAATAAAGTAAAAATCCAGGAGTCCACAATGATATAATATATAAACAGGACAGAAGGGAAAGCTCTTCCTAACAAAAAGTCAATTAATAAATATAGAAGAAATGTACTCACTAAAGTACTTAGGGATAAAAGGACATTATGACTGCAACTGACTCTCAAACAATCCAAAACTAAAAGACGTGTGTGTGTGTGTCATACACACACACACACACACATGCATACATATATTCATATGTTACACATATATACATATATACACACATACACAAACAGCAAATGACAGCAAGAGACAAGAGTGTAATAAATAACACAAATATGGAAAAATGTTAATATATAGGCACTCCAGATGAAAAGTATACATATAGGAATTCTTTTAACTATTCTTAGATTTTTCTGTAAGCCCAAAATACATCGAAAGTTAAAAGAAAAATCTCACACAATATAGAAAATCAGACATTTCATAAAAGCAGAAAACAAAGATGAAAAATTGTTCAACCACTTAAAATAATAACACATGATTTTTTGCTAATTAGCACGAGAAATATAAATGACAATACCCAGTGGCAGCAAGGTTCTGGAGAACCTAGTATTTTCATACTATGCTGTATGAATGATAATTGGTCAATCTTTAGATCAAAACAACTTGGCAATATGGACCAAGAACAATAAAAATGTACCGACTCTAGTGATTCTACTTTTGGGACTCTATCCTAAGGAAATAAATACTAAATATTGAAAAAGCATTATAAACAAATATAATCACTTTAGCTTTATTTAAAATACAAACTGGAAAAAATCTAAATATACCACAGGAAAAGGTTAAGAAAACTGTGATATAATCACAGAAATTATTCAGTCACTAAAATGGATGGGTCTATAAAAATTATGTAAATATGAAGAAATGCTTACAACAAATATAATATGCTAAAGTAAAAGTGTATGAACAGAATAATTACAAACTACGGTTTTAAAAGTATCTATGTGCAGAAAAAGAAGACTAAAAATTTATAACACTGTTACAGTATTTGTAGTGTGACGGTATTGGTGGGTAAGTTTTTCCTTTTCTGTATCTTCCTAACTGTCAATAACTGTTATTTTAATAATGAGGAATATGTAACTAATAAAAGAAAAAAAACTAAGCTACTACTTTAATACTGAGCTATGTGTTCATGAAGTGCAGCTGGAAAAATTTCAAAAGGCGCAGAAAGGGGGAAAAAAAGTCATGACGAAGCAATATATACAAATACCTTTATTGTGTTTTTAAACATACACAACCTGGTACACATGTGAGTGGGAATGCTGAACAACTCCAGTAGGGGAAAGGTTATAAAAGATGCATAAGAAATGTTCACACAGAAAATATGACGGGAATAACATCCTTTCTTATAAAACAAGCATATTCCATGCAAAGGAGAGAACTGTGACAAAGTATGTTAAAGCTTAAGAGCTTGCTACAGAAATGAGGTATTACAGTGGACAACAGGAGTCTTGCAAGCTTCTCTTTGTGAAATACTCACTGGAGTCTCATCCGTTTCTCAGGGGGGGCCTTTGTGCTCACTGTTTGTTGGACGTTCTTTGTGGTCTCTTTCTCCTCAGGTTTTACAGCTTCTGGTATAGGTTCTGCCTCTTTCTTTGTCTGATCCACTAGACATCAAAAGCAGAATTTTTTGTAAGGGAATGAGGGTAAAGAGATGAGATAAAAATTAGATAACAGCAATTCTGAATGGTTCAGACTCTTTCAAATTCATTTTTAACTACTTATTTTAACTTTTAAATTTAGGTGTTTCATCAGATAGGTGCATTTAAGAACCTATTTACAAACCTAAAAAACTGATAACCCAAGGAAATTTGTGATACTGGACAAAGACACATGGCATTTAAATATGACATTATGCATTAACAAAATATATAAATACCCTATCCCAGCTCAGTAGATAGTTTAATACCGTTTTCAAAGATTAAACAGAAGACCTTTTTTCATGCTGAGATGTGAACAAAAAACAACCTCAAATCACCCTGGCTTCTCCATACCTCTTCAATACCTACTCTTTCCACTCCCATTTGTCTTTTAAATATCAACATCACTACCACAAAAGCACCACCTGTGGCAATTCAGCAGATCTCAAAGGTTAGAAATGACAAACTACAAAGAAAGAGTCTAGGACGACAAATGACCACAGCTCATCTCACAGTCTTAGTTGTTACTGAGTTTAAACATGTTGTTGGTCTTACGTCAAGTGTAATAAAGACATCAGATGAACTATACCTGGGACAGGCTTTTCTCCAGACTTTTGCTGCAATTAAAAAAAGAGAGGAGGAAAAAGAAGAAGAAAACAGGGCAGGTTAGCAAAGTATTTTTTCCTTGATTTCATAACTCTTATTAAAATTATATTTTTATTCAAATTACATTATAAATGACTTCATAAAGAGGAACTACTATTCATGTACCATAAACTGTGGTACATGAACACTTATTTCCCTGTTTCAGAGTAGACACAAATCTAAAATTAGAAGAAAACAGTCAGCCATAAAAAACCTTGGACACCTATAAAGCCCTTTACTGCTGCACTAAGTCCATAATGCTTTACAAATAATAGTTAAGTAGAATCCAATAGGAGGGAAGAATGGCACCTTTCAAGACTCCAGAGACAAATTTGCTTAGAGGATATGAGCTATAAGAAAGGAGAATGAAAATTTCGATGAATTTCTGACTTTTAAAGTTGGCAACATACCAAACCGCATGGAAGTAAAGATGGAGGGAGGAGTGGGGAGTTATTTTCCTAGGAGCATAAGGCTTCTGATGATTATACTATTGTAAATCAAACTACAAGAAAAACTGATGGGGTACTAGGGGTGAGGAAGAAGGACAAGTCCTCCACTCTGCACAGCAATTCTTTTTCTTGGTTGGGCCCAGTCATCTTCCTTTCCCATTACCCAAGTTGTATGTTCTCACTGCCTACTCCTCCTCACTCTTAATTAATGATTCTGCCTCCAATGTTCAAAAAAACAAAAAGGATGCCAACGCCACCGACTTCCCTCCTATCTACTTCTCAACTTAGTGTATCTTTACCTACTTCCCTGTCATCTCAGAGGAAAGAAGTGATCTCATTTCCAAGATTAACACCTTCATTCGTTTTCTGAATTTCTTTCTAAATTCACACACACTCCCTAAGCTCTTGCATATTCCTGACTAAACACTACAAAATTTTCTGACTTCACATGTTCCAGATTCATGCTGCCAACTGCCTAACAGGCTACTCTAATTGTAAGTCCAGGAAACCCTTACACTTAAACTGAGCTCCGTATTAATAGCCACTGTGTAGGAAAGGAGTTAACAGACAAGGCCTAAGACTGCTAGCCTTAGAAAGGTATGCTTGCAAGGTTGGCCCTTACTTGGTGTCTAGGAACTTGAATTTCGAGAAGGTTCCCACCATTCCCTAATCATAAGGGTGGCTCACTGTACCTAGATTGTTTGTACAATGTGGCTTATAGTGAGCATCTGCTTTCCCCTGGGGAGTATGAAATTTTGCTACGTGCCAGATAGAGGGTGCCTATGTGACAAACCCCCCAAAAAACCTTGGGTGTCCAGTATCTAACGGACTTCCAGCAGAAAGATCGCACATATGCTGCTACATTTTTGCTGCTTGGGAAGAGTGCACTCTGTGTCATGCCTCGTAAGAAAAGAGCAAAAGGAAGCCTGGACGCAGATTCCTCCAGACTCTGTCTGTGTCTTTTTCCCTCACGATCCAGCTGTTTTTTCTTACTATGTCACTGTAAGCCCCACGCATCTGGCACTTTGTCACACTGTGGGGGCTTGCGTGTTGCTGTGATGCTGTAAGTTATGCCACCAGGATTCAGACACAGGCAGGGTCATCCATGGCGGGCTAGTTTCAGCTGAGCTTCCAAACTAAGACAGACTAGGAAGAAGGACCCTGCAGTCTACTTTTGAAAAGAACTAGCCAGTGAAAACCTTATGAATAGCAGCAGAAAACTGTGATAAAGTGCCAGAAGATGAGCCCCCCAGGTTGGAAGGCACTCAAGAGATGACTGGGGAAGAGCTGTCTCCTCAAAGTAGAGTTGACCTTAATGACGTGGATGGACTCAAGTTTTCGGGACCTTCATTTGCTAATGTCGCACAACTCAAAATGAGAAGAAACAGCTGTAAACATCCACAAAAATCAGAATGTGGAATGTACAAAGTATGAATCTAGGAAAACTGGAAATCGTCCAAAATGAAACGGAACCCATAAACATCAATATCCTAGGCATTAATGAGCTGAAATGGACTGGTATTGGCCATTCTGAATCAGACAATCATATGGTCTACTATGCCGGGAATGATAAATTGAAGAGAAATGGTACTGCATTCATCCTCAAAAAGAATATTTCGAGATCTATTCTGAAGTACAACACTGTCAGTGCTAGGATAATATCCATATGCCTACAAGGAAGACCAGTTACTATGACTATTATTCAAATTTACACACCAACCACTAAGGCCAAAGATGATGAAATTCAAGACTTTTATCAACTTCTGGAGGCTAAAATTGATCAAACATGCAATCAAGATCCACTGACAATTACTGGTGATTGGAGTATGAAAGTTGGAAACAAAGAAGGACTATTAGTTGGAAAACAGGCCTTGGTGATAGAAACAATGCTGGAGATTGCATGATAGAATTGAGCAAGACCAATGACTTCTTCATTGCAAATACCTTTTTTCAACAACATAAGTGGTGACTATACACGTGGACCTCGCCAGACAGAATATACAGGAATCAAATCGACTATATCTGTGGAAAGAGATGATGGAAAAGCTCAATATCATCAGTCAGAAAGAGGCCAGGGGCTGACTGCGGAACAGACCATTAATTGCTCATATGCAAGTTCAAGCTGAAACTGAAGCAAATTAGAACAAGTCAGCGAGAGCCAAAGTACAGACCATCTCAAGAACATTTTTGACGTGTTTAACACTAATAACCAAAGTCAGGTTGCAGAATGTCTTCACGGACATCATACATGAAGGAAGAGGTCATTAAAAAGACAGGAAAGAAAGAAAAGACAAAAACAGATGTCAGAAGAGACAGTGAAACTTGCTCTTGAAAGTCAAGTAGCTAAAGCTAAAGGAAGAAATGATGAAGTAAAAGAGCTGAACAGAAGGTTTCAAAGGGCAGCTCGAGAAGACAAAGTAAAGTACTACAATGACACATGCAAAGGCCTGGAGATAGAAAACCAAAAGGGAAGAACACCACTCGGCATTTCTCAAGCTGAAAGAACTGAAGAAAAAGTTCAAGCCTCGAATTGCAATACTGAAGGATTCTACAGAGAAAATATTACATGATGCAAGAAGCATCAAAAGAAGATAGAAAGGAATACCCAGTCACTATACCGAAAAGAATTGGTCAACGTTCAGCCATTTCAGGAGTAGCATATGATCAGGAACTGATGGTACTGAAGGCACTGGTGAAAAACAAGGCTCCAGGAATTGACAAAGTATCAACTGAGATGTTTTAGCAAATGGATGCAGCAATGGACATGCTCACTTGTCTATGCCAAGAAATATGGAAGACATCTACCTGGTCAACTGACGGAAGAGATCCACACTTATGCCTATTCCAAAGAAAGATGATCCAACAGAATGTGGAAATTATATTATTAATTAAATTATATTATTAATATCACACCCAATATATTGACAAGGAACTGGCAGAAATTCAAGCCGGATTCAGAAGAGGACGTGGAACCAGAGACATCACTGCTGATGTCAGACAGATTCTGGCTGAAAGCGCAAAATATCAGAAAGATGCTTACCTGTGTTTTATTGACTACGCAAAGGCATTCGACTGTATGGATCATAACAAATTATGGATAACATTGTAAAGAACGGGAATTCCAGAACACTTAACTGCGCTCATGAGGAACCTGTACATACATGAAGAGGCAGTCAATTGAACAGAACAAGGGGATATCATGTGGTTTAAAGTCAGGGAAGGAGTGTGTTAGAGTTGTATCCTTTCACCATACTTAACTCAATCTGTATGCTGAGCAAATAAACTGAAGAGCTGGACTATATGAAGAACGGGGGCATCAGGATTAGAGAAAATACCCATGGAAGCGGCAGTCAGGAAATCAAAAGATGCATTGCACTGGGCAAATCTGCTGCAAAAGATTTCTTTAAAGAGTTAAAAATCAAAGATGTCACCTTGAAGACAGGTGTACCTGACCCACACAATGGTGTTTTCAATCGCCTTATATGAAATGTGAAAGCTAGACAATGAAGAAGGAAGACCAAAGAAGAATTGATGCCTTCAAATTATGGTGTTGGCAAAGAATACTGAATATACCATGGACTGCCAAAAGAACGAACAAATTTGTCTTGGAAGAAGTACAGCCAGAATGCTCCTTAGAAGCAAGGACGGCAAGACTTGAGCAAATGTTCACTCATGCTCATTCATGTTTCAATACTGCATGATCTATTCCCATTGTCTAGATCAGAACTACCCAACGGAAATATCATGTGAGCCACAAATGCAAGTTACATATATACTTTTAAATTTTCTAGTCATTAAAAAAAGTAACCACATGTGAAATTTTTGTATTACACTTTATTCAACCAAATATATCTAAAATATTATTTCAACATACAATCAGTATTTTAAAAATTATTCATCAGATATTTTACACTTTTTTGGGGTCCTCTTTGAAATCCAGGGTGGATTTTACACTTACGTCACAACTCAATTTGGTTCAAATGCTCAAATGCTATGGTTCAAATGCTTTACATATGGCTAGTAGTTACTATACTGGATAGCACAGATCTTCCCCTAGCCTACCTAGCATATACTATGTGCTCAGTGAATGAACAGTCAATCAGACCTAACCTTTTACACTCTGCAGCGGTTGCTCATCATCCTGTTATTGCTGTTATGTTGTTAGGTGTCATCAAGTCGGTTCTGACTCATAATGACCCTATGCACAATAAAATGAAACACTGCCTGGTCCTGTGCCATCCTCACAATCATTGTTATGCTTGAATCCATTGTTGCAGCCACTGTGTCAGTCCATCTAGTTGAGGGTCTTCCTCGTTTGTGCTGACCCTCTACTTTACCAAGCATGATGTCCTTCTCTAGGGACTGATCCCTCCTGATAACATGTCCAAAGTACGTAAGACGTAGTCTCACCATCCTTGTTTCTAAGAAGCATGCTGGTTGTACTTCTTCCAAGACAGATTTGTTCACTCTTTTGGCAGTACATGGTATATATTTAATATGCTTCACCAACAGCACAATTCAAAGGTGTCATTTCTTCTTC